GGGCCAGCGCGGCGCATACTATGTCAGCACCCTCAGTTTGGCATGGCCTGGAAAGGCTGCAGCGTCGATCTCACGCGCATTGCCTGGTACGTCGGTAGCGGTCATACTGAACCGCGTCGGCTCCCCCACCATCGGCTCCTGCGAGCACGCGTACGCGTCGAGGACGACGACGTCGAAGACCTCGCTTCGCGAATGGAGGGCGTCGATAAGGACGACATCTTCGACAGCATATGGCGAGACGGTGGCCATCAAAAGCGCGACGCAGAGCTGGCCACCCGCAACCCGCTCTGGCACTGAGCCCGTTCGACTCCAAGTTCAAGTTCAACGAGGACAGGCTCGACTTCTCGACGCCACAGAATGAGTCGGGGAACAATTTCGTCGTGTCGCTGCCTGACCAGCTGCCCGACCAGCACCATCTCACGCGACAGCCTCTGTAGAAGGTGGGAAAATCGCCTGCGCATTGGTGTACTGAGTGTCGTTCCGAGCACGATATAATATAATAATGTCCCACAATATAAAATAATAATGTCCGACATAGTGTGTGAAGTGAATACAGAGGAACAGTCAGTTGACGAGCTGGCTTTGCACCATCGTGTCGACTAGCTCCTCTTCCGTGAGCTCCATAGCTGTATCCTCGAACGTGGCGCCGTACAAGATACTGTCTGCCGTATGTTTGCATGTTGTAATCTTCCATGCTTGCCTCGGATTTGATGCGTGTATGATGAACCGCCTTGCAAGTAACTGATGAATGTTTCCAAGGAGGCTAATTGCCTGAGGTCGGTTGATAAGGCCAGATGTTGGTATTGCAAACATCGCGGCGCGATGAGCATGGAAAATCCAATGCCTGTCGCGTGTCAGGCCAGCTAATGCACAGACCACATATAAATGCTCACAGCTTAGCCATCTGGGTGCTGTACTGTTTGAAACAGCTTCTATCATGACTAACCGCCGGTGTGACCTTGTGCAAAAGGAAAAACATGGCAGCCGCAGCAGCATATTGTAGTCGATGGAAGAAGCTACACTGGGCAGTAAGAAGCCGGCCAGGCAAATTATGGAGTTACGCACTCTTTGTAGGTTCTGGGTTCATGAGCCAGCATTCTGTCATACTGCGCGATAATTCCATCGACTTCTTCGTTGCTCACAGTGCGTGTGGGACCGAACAAGGGTGTGACTCCCGGAATTCCAAGACTGGCAGTTTGGTCGACCGTATTGAGAGCTCTATCTCGCCTGATGAGGTCTGAACATATCACGTCAGCTGCAACCTGGTGCTGGGTTATATAATAGTATAGTTTGTCTGCTAGCTGGGTGGGGTCGAGCATTGCGTGAGATCACCTTAGTGCTGGTTGGCGTCAGGGTTGGCTTTTCTTAGCGCTGGGCTGCTGCCCGCCCACTGGAACAAAACTAACTGGTCGTGTCGCGCTGTTTCTCTGGACCTCTATCTTACCCTTGGACCTCTATCTTACCCTTTGGACACCTCATACCTATGGCTGCTCTCTTGCCACTCCCAGCGGCGTTCCCACTGCAGTGGCTTGCCAATGGACCTGTCGGCTATGGGATATCCTACGACATTTTTACTCGGCCGACTGGGGATCTTCCGCCAGACGGTTGGGGAGCGGACCGAAGTACACTCCCTCTTCATCAGATCTGCTTAGATAGCTGATTGAGCCAGATCACACATATAGAAATCTACACCAGGTTCTCTTGCAGCAGCATTTCCACTCAGAACAATACTCCGTCTGGGTCAACCACCATGCGACCGCCTTGGAAGCTCTTGCTACTGCAACAGGCCTTCTCAACATCCCGCCGTCCTCCAAGCTCGCTACAACTCTTCGCAAGATTCTCATTTTTCATCTAGTTAATAATCAGGTGGCCGACCTTACCGCCGACTTCTTACTTGGTGGACTGTACTCTCCCGACCTCAATGGTCCAGCCCCGCGAACCCTTGTCCAGAACGCCCTGCAGGCTGGGGCAGTCCTCAACCACCAGCCTGTCGTCCCACCCGCCAATCAATTCGTACGTCCTGTGGGGACACACAACGTAGCTGCTGCCAACCTCGCTGCCAACTGGATGGTATAAAGCTTATATTTTCTGTGTCAGTTACCGATGTATTACCGCCTCTTATAACTTTAATTTGATTTGTCACGTCACCCGACGTGAGCACCGCGAAGGTGGCGGCAACTCGTGCTGAATGATCGTGAGCATGCGCTCTTGCACACCGAGGAGGAGGTGGCGGAGTCCAGGGCACATTTGAGTAGTGAACTGCGAGTCATGAGATGTTGTCAGAAGTTTTGCACCTGAGAGCGGCATCAGAGAGTATACCTGAAGTCGGGTGCTTTGGCTCTCATTGCTTTGAGCTGTGCACACGAAAACCACAGCAGAATCGCGCCGCGCTTGTACTAAGCCTAATGAATGTTCTGTCAGTATTCGAGACATCCGCACAAACAGAGACATCCGCACAAACAGGGCGCGCAACGTACCCGCCTTCGAGATCTGGATGCCGAAGCCGGCTCACGCAGGCAGTTCTAGGGCAGGATCGCACGCGACCCGGTGAGGACGGCTCTTGTGCCCACAAGAGCCGTGTCACAAGATGTGACTAACCTTCAATTCCATTTCCTGCTTGCCCTACTTCAGCTGCCACAGAGGGAAAGGAGGGGAGGGTGAGAGGGTGAGAGTGAGGTACAAGTGAGACGGCGAGAGGTGGTGAGCGCTCAATAGCCCACGCACGGACTTGCAGCTAAGAGATGAGAATTGGGTAGTATATCGAGTACAGACTTATCTCCCTTCAGATTACCTTGAAAAAACAAAAGCATCTGAGGCTTCTCCATTTCGCATTTTTTTGATATCTCTACCAGTGATATAACATAAACATAATCACTGTCTACTCATTATCTTGCTCAATTGGAGGACAGACTGACCCAAAAAATTGCACAGGCACAGAACATACATGACTTATACACACACAGCTTTTGGATTTTACTCTTGAACTACTTCAAATCCTATAGCTGTGTTTCACTACAAACCTGGCTGGGATTAGAACCATATATTAACTCTGGTCTAAAATTGCATGTTTAATTAATGAGGCAGCCACAGTACCAAAATAGTTTTAAAAACCATCTACGGCATTCTTTGAAAGGCACAATACGTGGAAAAGACAAGTAGTAGATTTCTTGAGGTAAGCGCCCTACGAGCGTTAGGCAGTTTGTGGCGTGCTGTCGCTGCTGTATTGTTGGTAAAGGCATAGCAACGGGTCGTCCGCCGGTCACAGCAATCAATATTGTCGTGTTGTTCTTGTTTAGTTCAAAATCATTATCTCTGAGTAGCCATGTATTCTCAAAGGATGGCTATGATATTACAGGACAGCACCCCTTCAGCACTTCGGAGCCAAAGCTCTTGCAAACAGCGTGTTGTCGATACCAAGCCGACAACTAACGTCACAACACAAGACCACACAGCACCGTCAATGTCATGATCAGATTGTCATTCAATTACTCTTCACAGGCCAGTAACCCTACTACACTCTCGAAGACGTCGTATGAAGAAGGGCTAGAGTCCATCTTTTGAGCAAGTAATGAGTTCTTAACACCGACCACTGAGCAACAAACACTGCCACCTAATCTGCTATGCGCCCGCCGTGGGGTAAGTGTGGTCGACCGTCGATGCGAGAGCGACGCGAGATAATGGTACAGTGCATGTCGTGTCGATACAGCGATTGAAGAAGCTGAAAGAGACCAATTCCACGGTCGAAGACGAGCCGGAAGGCAGTTGAGCGTGGACGACCCACGAGACGATGGCTGTTAAAGACGAGTGATGCTAGTGGCAAGTAAACCGAAGAAATGGCGTTAGCAGGGCTGCGATGAAGCTGACAGAATGACGGGGAAGTGGACTGGTGCCGCTACCCGACACATGAAATTTGCGACAGCGGAAGAGAAGGGCTTGTCTGCTATGACAGAAAATAAGGATATTGGTGCACAAGAACAACACTAGGTGGATGACGTGGATGGCGTAGAAGAAGAAGAAAAAAAGGAAAAAAGGTGTGATACGAAAACGAACAAGGGAAGCTCAGACAAGGCAACGAAGAGCACCGAGCGAGGAAGTGGGAAATTAGGGCAACAGGCGTATGAGACGCACCATAAAGGGATCAATATCATTGAACAGAGTCCCAAAATCCAAGAACACATGCGATGCGCCTTCAGGCGTCCTTGTCAAGCGCGAAGTACGCGACGCGGATGCCCTGGAAGCGGATGACTTCCTTGCCGATAAGCTGCTCGCTCGCCGCCTGGGGCATGTTGTCGCCGGCGCGCCGTCGCCCATGCCTTCATGGTGCGCGCCTCGTCGTACAGACGGCGAGCGGCCAGAAGCCGACCTCGACCATCACGCCCCTGACGATGTTGAGGCTGTGCGCGTTGATGTCCGCCTTGAAGTAGGGCTGCGCGGCCGCGGGTCGTCGATGGTGACGGACTCCCGATGGCACGTGCTCTGGATACACTGGATAAGTGCCTTGAATTCTTCGTTGCGAGCTCGCTTTCAATCTC